AATGCTCAATTATCATTCTCAATCTCTCATTCATGAGACCAACTTTATGAGACAATTTCTCATTCAATTCTCTACTTTTTTTGGTTATTCTATTTTGTGGTAGAGAGATCTTGTTACAAAGAATCTAGAACCAAAGTTACCAAAAACCCATTTTCTCCAACAAAGAGGACCTAAGAAAGGCAAACAAAATTAAGAAGTGGATAGGCGGGGGGAGTGGTCAGAGCTACCAATGATATGTAAGGGCAGGGTAAAGGTTGGTAGTTGAGAAGTTGGATATTGGGAATAAAATTTGTATTTTATGATAAGATATAATTGTTAACAAATAATATGAAAGGAACCTAAACTACTTTTTAAAAATTAAGTCGTGATAAATAGTAGTACTTGGACTAAATATACACATAGTGGGCGTTTGGGAAGTTGCTATTTTAGTAGGCTATTTTAGTTTTTAGCTATTTTAGTAGGCTAAAATTTGTGTGTTTGGGAAGATAGTTTGATTTTTTTTGTAGTTGTATGTGATGTTTGTAAGAGAAACAGTGAAATGATTATGGGTTTGATGTGACATTTTGTCTTATTAGTTATTTTAGCCTATTTTGTCATTTTGTGAATTTTAGCTAAAAAAGCCAAAAAAAGCCTTGTAACATTTTGGTCTCAAAGTATATGATTTATTTCAATTTAATTTCTAATCTTTTATATGTTGCATTTTTTTTTTTTTTTTTGGCAAATTTTCAAAAGTATCCTCTCATTAATGATTTTGAACAAGTGTAACATAATTATATACTTTAGAAAGTTGAAAAATAAAAACATTAAAGACTAAATCATAATAAATTACATACTTTAAAAATTATTAATCCTTATTGTTATGAGAACTAATCAATATTTATTCTGAACTTGGTGCCCCTCTCGTCCGTGATTTGGATTAGAGGGTATTGTCTAGGCATGTAGAGCTTACCACAAGTCATGTTTCGATGATCAAAATTATTCATTTTATCAAGTATTTCGTGTATATTATTCGCACAAAAAATTAAGTTTGTTCGATAATCGTAATCTATTGAATTTATCACATTTGCCTCAAAAAAAAATGTATTTTTAAAAATAGATCATCTATTTCTTTTAATGACAAACGGGATAAATTGAATAGCCTATGAATATCAGATTGACCAAATTTTTTTAATGAATGATATATATGAAAGGGTTATTTACATGAAAACTTCCTTAAACTATTGAGAAATATCACTTTAACCCTCTAAATTATAAGACAGTATAAATGGACCCCATAAACTATTAAAAAAATAAATAAAAAAATCTACAAATTGGACCCCTAACAAAAGGGGTTAAAGTAAAACACGTCAATAGTATAGGCTGTTTATTTGTACGCTTTTATAGTTTATAAGACAAAACAATATTTCTCAATAATTTAGAAAGTCAATTTATACATTTTTATAATTTAGAGAATCAAAAGTGATACTTTTTAGGAATCTTCATATAATTAATCCCATACAAAAAAATTAGAGACGAAACATTCGACAAAATAGACGATTCCAATTATCAAGACAGAACCATGACGAGCCTACCTGAACAATGTCCTCCAGCCCCTTCCAAGTCCCATTAATTATTATCTTCTCACTCTTCACTCTTGTTTGATTTGATATAGATCTTACTTTCCAAACGACATCTTTGAGAAGATCGGCGATTTTTCCCTAATTATAATTGCTCTTTTGGCAAATTTGTATTTTGTTGTTTTTTTTTTCTTTTTCGTTTCGTTGTCTGGTTGGGATGACCCTTTGAAATCATATTTATGTATGTTGTTTATTAATATAAGGGTAAATTACAAATACACCACTTGAGGTTCGATTAAAATACGAATCACCCCTTGTAATTTTGGAAATTACATTCCACCTCCTGAGGTTTTTTTAATTTCATAATAAATCGCCCCTTTTATTAATAAATCATAAAATCAATTAACAGTTTCTAATAATATTAGAAATATATTTCGATTAATAATTTAGGTAATTTTATTATTGTATTGGAGAGCAATTATGAATTTTATTTTTATAGTTAAATAAAAAATTCTGACAATGGGGTATTTATAATTTTCAAAATCACATAGGACAACATGTACTTTAAACAAACCTTAGGGGGTGTATTTGTAATTTACCCTTAATATAAATGTTTCCATGTTCTTAAAAAAACTAGAGTAAATTACACTGATACTCCCTAAGGTTTTTGTTTAATACATATCCCTTCACATTTGAAAAATTACATTTATCCTCTGTCAGATTAAAATGACATATTTGTCCTTCAATCTTTTATACATATAAAATAATACAAATATTTTGTTCATGTCATTTTAAGGGAATAACAATCATCTTTTTTGGTTTAACTCACACAAAAAATTGATTTTTTTATTTTTCAATTTCTTTAATTTTTACTGAATTTTTTTAATATTTTAAGTAATTTTTTATTTTTTAGATACACCTAATCTAGATATACTTAATAAGTATAATATTTTGTAATTTTTTTTTAATTCACCAAATAAAAAAATTCAATACATTTTCTTATTTTGTTATATTCAATGATTTTTTTATAAAGTTTTTTGTACAAATTTTATACTTTTTAAATATATCTAATCGAGATATAATGGTAGAAATAAAAATGAAAAATTATATTCATATATAAAAATTTATACAAAAAAATATCATAAAAGGGCAGGATAGTCATTTAGAAAATTAGGTAAATTACATTGACACCTCTTGAGGTTTCTGTTTAATATAAATTTCCCTTTCACATTTGAAAAATTACATTCCTCCCTGAGGTTTGTAATCTCATTACAAATTGCCCACTAGATTGTTGATGTCATGCCCTAAAATTTTTTAAATGATCATCTTGCCATTTTTTCTACTATTTATTCTTCCTATCATTATGATCATTCTACAACTTTCCATCATTAAATTCTACTTGAAGATATTCTTATTGAGTGATGATTTACAAACATAAATTTTATATGGAATTTTCAAATACAATGATATAACTCAATAGTGACCTTTCACTTTAAAACAAAACACTTATAAATATGATTTGTATGTATAACAATATCATTATCCGATATGTTCGTTTGCACACTAAAATATTCTATTTGTAACTAAGTAATAACTACTATTCTGAAGTATGGTGGTTAAGATCATGTGTCAATTTTCATGGATTAATCGAATTGTGTTGATACAAAAATAATAATTAAAATAATTTAAAAAAATTAAACAATAATTAAATGAAAGTTGGCAGGCCCAGTTTCTTCTCCCTTTGGCTTTTTTTATTTTTATTTTATTTATATATAATATACATATATATATATATATATATATATATATTCCTTTGTCTTTATTCTTATAATTTTAATTTTTTTTTAAATTGCACACGTATCGCATGTACAGATCACTAGTACTATTATAAAAAGAATACAACTCAATTGGAATGAACAATTTTATCGCACAATGGAGTTTTCAAAAATAATTTTATGAGTTTTCAATTTGTACCTTTATATTTTTTGTAATTTTGAAAAATATTTTAATTATTTTTTTTATTTTTTTTATGATTTTTTTCTAGATATATTTAAAAAATATAAAATTTGTACAAAAAAACTTAAAAAAAATCTATTAAATATAACAAAATAAGATAATATATTGAATTTTTATATTTTTTTTTGTGTTTAGTGAATTTTTTAAAAAATCACGTAATATTATATTTCTTAAGTATATTTAGATTAGATGTATCTAAAAAATAAAAAATTATTTAAAATATTAAAAAATCAATAAATTTTTTTAAAAAAACACGAAAAATAAAAAATAAAAATAAAAAAACTCAATTTTTTGTATGAGCTAAATAAAAGAAGATGATTGTTACTTCTCTATAATCACCGAGTGTTCAAACGGTGACGTCCAAGTCTTGAGGACGGTCAAAAATGGGGTGTCTACAATGGATAATCACCGAGTGTTCAAACGGTGACGTCCAAGTCTTGAGGACGGTCAAAAATGGGGTGTCTACAGCTACCTAACACACAACCCTCCTCCTTAACTCGGGCTTGGGACCGGCGGAGTTGTTAACAACCTCGGCAGAGTTTTTTAGTATTCCTTTTTATATTTAATGTCAGTGTAATTTATCATAAAAAATTTTAAAATATGATATCAACAATGCATTATAATGAAATTATAAATTTAATAAGAAAATTATAATTTTAGAAGTTTTTATGATTTTTTTCTAGATATATTTAAAAAATATAAAATTTGTACAAAAAAACTTAAAAAAAATCTATTAAATATAACAAAATAAGATAATATATTGAATTTTTATATTTTTTTTTGTGTTTAGTGAATTTTTTAAGTAATCACGTAATATTATATTTCTTAAGTATATTTAGATTAGATGTATCTAAAAAATAAAAAATTATTTAAAATATTAAAAAATCAATAAATTTTTTTAAAAAAACACGAAAAATAAAAAATAAAAATAAAAAAACTCAATTTTTTGTATGAGCTAAATTAAAGAAGATGATTGTTACTTCTCTTGAAATGACGTGAACAAAATATTTACACTATTTTATTATATGACATGTATAAAGACTAAGAGACAAATATGTCATTTTAATCAGACTGAGATAAGTATAATTTTTCAAATATAAATGGAGATTTATATTAAATGAAAATCTCATGGGGGTGTCAGTGTAATTTACCATAAAAAATTTTAAGATATGATATCAACAATGCAGGAACAATTTATAATGAGATTATAAAATTTAAGAAGAAAATTATAATTTTTAGAAGCGACAATCTATATTAAATAGAAATCAAGGTGTCTGTGTAATTTACCCAAAATACTACAGTTTGAAATGATCAGCATCCGTTTGGTGTGTACTATGTTCTAGGAAAACAGAGAGGAATGTATGTATATGCCTGTCCATACCTACCTGCCCAGGATAAAACTAGGTCAAAAAGCCCGTAAAATTATTCTTCTTTTATTTTTTTTTCTTTTTTAGTCTTTTTCCTGGTAAATTCAATACCCAAACAAGTTGCCGGGAAAATCATTCCAGTCCAATTAACTCTTTTTGTATATTCCCAGAAGTCAAAGGACAGCAAGCTGGTACATGATTAGACGAACCCATCTGCATGAGAAGAATTGTCTACTGTCTATTGATCTAAACCAGTCCAATTGGCACTGAAACTCGAATTTCTTGGGAAACAAACAGAAAACTGTCGGAAAATTTCCTTGATGCATCAATAAGGTAGGTATGCACTCAATATCTATTCCTTCAGCATAAGACCATCTCCAACCCTTCAATACTTTTTTTTCATTAAATTTGATTCCAAAATTGAGTAAAAAGCTTGATTTGATATGCATTACTCTAATCCTTTCATCCAATTTTTATCAAATTCTTTTTAAAAATTCTTCTATTATCCAAAATTTTCCTTTTCATCAAATTTGATGAAAAAAAATTCATCTCCAATGTAATCTTTTAAATTTTTGTCAAATTTGAATTTGATGAGTTCTCAATTTGATGAAAAAATGACTCTTCCTTGATTTGGTGAAAGGATTGGAGATGAATTTTGAACTTTTTTTCATCAAATTTAAATTTGATGAAGAATAAAAAAAGTTGAAGTATTGGAGATGCTCTATGCATAATTACTATGTAGGTTTTAATATGTGTTTTGATGCTTTAAATTGAATCATGTTATATTTGAATATCAATTTTGTCATGGTTTAAATGAAATTTGATCCCTTTACTCCTTTTGCAGTTTGCCCAAAAAGCCCTAAACTACTTTTTAAATTTTAAATTTCAAAATTTGAGATCTAACAAATCTCTGGAGTTCAACCATGATAGAACCAGAGCTCTATCTATGGTATTTTAGTGACTGAAGGAACATAATGGGATAGTAAGAAGAAGAAGAAGAAGAAGAAGATCACCTCGAGGGGATTGGTTTACTAGAATGGAATGGAGTAGAATGGAATAATCATTCAACCGGAATTTTCATTCTCATGCTTGGTTGATTTAAAAAAGTAATGAAAAATACATTGCAAATAGAACCATCATTCATCGGGAATGATCATCCCATTCCAGTAAACCAATTAGAGCATTAAAGCAAATTATCATTGATTGCATAAAAGTGCCATAAGGCATCTACACCTTTATATAATTAGAACACCAGCCAGCAACAGAAATAACAAGATTGCCGGAAAAAGAAATTAAATCATGCCAAAACAAATGGCACATTTGACTCCTAAAAATAAAATTGAACATTATCTACCAATATAGAAAGTAATCGTATCATTCCCCCACTCTTATTAACGATCTTGTCCTCAAGGTTGGAAAGCAACAAACGCTAGAAATTTCTCCCTGAGCGAGTGATAGGATTCCCAAGTAGCATACTCAATTGGAAAGCTATTCCACTGGACTAGAACGCCCACTCCTGCTTGATTCTTGCGTTTGACTAATCATCAATCCAATATAGCTTGGGGTTGGATCTTGGTTTCTCCTGTCAAGGAAATACCTGGTAGCTGCCTTTGAACAAGAAGGTGAACTCCAAGCTTCTTTTTCAAACAAGAAACATGGAAAACATGATGAATCTTAGGCTCTGTTTATTTCAATGTAAAATATTTTACATCAAAAAATATTTTTCATGTAAAATATTTTTATGCAAAAAAATATTTTCCTCCCTATTTTTCAGTGTTTGGCTGTTGTTTGTAAAATATTTACGTAATACTCAAATTGCACTTTCTCTAACTTGCAATGTGGACATTGAATTCATAATCGGAGAACCAGTCATTCACCTAGGCTGCCACAAAACCAATGAAGATTGCAAACCATGGTTTTCCCAACTGTTGAGAGGAGTCTTGTGGGTAAGCCAAAAATGACTTGCGAAATTTTGGAAAGGAAGTCATTTTTGAGCTTTTGATGAAAGTTATTTTTGTTAAAAAAATATTTTACTTACTTTGTGTTCAACCAAATAAAGCAAAATGAAATATATTTTACGGGAAAAAAACGGAGCCTTAGTGCCTTCAGGAAGGTCTAACCGATGGGCTACAGGTTCTATACACTCAAGCACCTTATAAGGACCATAAAATGTGGCTATAACTTCTTAGAAGAGCAAACTTGTATGGAAACTTGTTTGTAGGGTTGTAGCCGCAAATAGACCCAATGTCGTACCTTAAACTCCCTTTTTGTTCTATGCTTGTCTCCTTGTTGCTTCATTCGGGACTGAGCTTGATGTAGATTATTTTTGAGAAGTTGCAAAAGGCCATCCCTTTCTCTTGGATCACAATCTACCTCAAATGGAGTTTGTTTGGTAGTTGAATGATAGGTAGTGTTGTACCACCATTCTACCCATGAAAGCCAGCAAACCCAATCCTTTGGCTGATCACCTGTAAAGCACATCAAATAATCCTCTAAGGCACTGGTTAAAGACCTCTGTCTCAGGCCATCTGTCTGTGGTTGATAGGTTGTAAGATGGTCCACAACCACAAAGATCACGTTCTTCCCTTGTGAGGAAGGAAGGCCTTCTATAAAATCTATAGAGATATCTGACCACACTTGGGTAGGAGCTGCAAGTGGTTGTAGCATTTCAGGGTTGCTACTGTTTCTGCTTTATTTCTCTGGCACGTGTCACATTCTTGTACAAAATGTTTAACCTCCTTCTGCATCCCTTTCCAGTAAAAGACATGAGAGAGTCGTTTGTAAGTGCAAAAGTAGCCTGAATGTCCAGCAGAGGAAGATGCATGGAACTCGTGAAGTAACAATGGCTTTTGGGGAGAATTAGCAACCAATACAATTCGGCCGTTGTACCTAAGGTCCTTCCTTGCCATCCCAAGCATAGTGTGGGACAACATTAGGGTCTTTATGCAATTTGATTATCAAATCCTATATAGTTAGATCACTCGCCCACTCCGCTCGTATGTCATCTAGACCACCAAATATTGGAGCTGTTATAGCCGCCAAATCAGCTTGTTCAGGAAGTTGAGGAAGAGCATCAGCAACCTCAATCTTTGTCCCCTTCTTGTAAATAATCTCATAGTCATACCCCAGTAATTTAGAGACCCATTTTTGTTGCTCCACGGATGAGATTCGCTGTTCCAAAATATATTTAATGCTTTTATGATCAGTCTGTATTTGAAAATGGTGGCCAATAAGGTAAGGCCTATTTTGTCTCACTGCATGACTATAGCCCTCTTCTCCTTGTCATATATTGACATCTGTTGATGAACTGGTGATAATGCCTTGCTAGTGAATGCTAAAGGTTGACCCTTCTGGATTAGAACTCTGCCAATTCCCACTCCACAAGCATCACACTCTACCACAAAGAGTTCAAGGAAATCTGATAGAGCAAGGACAGGAGTAGACATCATAGCGTCCTTCAATTTGACAAAGGCAGCTTCAGCATCTGGCCCCCAATTAAACGCATCCTTTCGCGACAAGGTTGTTAAAGGTGCACTAATTTTTTCATAGTCCTTGAAAAATTTCCTATAATAGTCAGTTAAGCCAAGAAATCCACACAGTGCCCAAACATGTTTTGGTGTGTAGGGCTCTCAACCATAGCCTTTATTTTTGAAGGGTCTACTGCTACCCCATCCTTGGAGATAATATGACCAAGATACTCTACTTGAGGTCACAAATAAAGATTTCTCCTGAAGGAGGGTGAGTGCAATACACAGATGACATTTATGTTCCTTCTACTAAGATGAACTATAAATGAGAATATCGTCAAAGAATCACCAAAGGAAGTTTCCGACAACCGGAGATGGTGACTGGCCGAGGTGGCCGATTGTGGTTCATGACGGTTGGAGATGATGGCCAAAGGTGTTTTTCAGCTGAAGTGGTGGCCAGAGATTGTTTCTGTCCAAAGTGCGCCACATAGACAACTATGGTCAGAGGTGGGGGTGGTCAGTGGGTGGTGTCCAGAGGGAGTGGAAGATGAAGGAATAAAAATTTTCTAAACAAGCGAAAATAACTTTTTGTTTTTGTTACAATAATTTTATAAACTATTTACATTTTTTTTAAAAATGAAAGTAACTAAATTAGTTTTTGTTTATAGTTTTTAAAATTTTGTAAACTGAAACAAAAAATATTGATATAAATGTTACCAAACAGGCCTTTATTGATTCCGATAACCACTGCACTGCCTATTAATTTGTGTAAGAACTGAGCAGCTTATTATTAGAATATCTTATGTTATGCAGGGGAAGTTTTTGTAGTCTTCGTTCTTTTGGGTATTCTGTTCCTGAACGGACAAGGTACTTTAGTACTGTTACAAGCTGCTCAAATATTTTATTTTTTTCAGAAAAAAAAAAAAAAAAAAACGATGCATTGCCTATAGTACATTGACTTGCTATTCTTCTATTGCTGACTGCTCAAATATTGTCTTTGGTAAAAGAATTGATGTCATACTTGACATGAGAATGAGTTAAAGGTGGTACATTTAGTTCTGCTCTTTGTCCATCCCTGCTATTATTGTACTTTAGTACTGTTACAAGCTGCTCAAATATTTTATTTTTTTCAGAAAAAAAAAAAAAAACGATCCATTGCCTATAGTACATTGACTTGCTATTCTTCTATTACTGACTGCTCAAATATTGTCTTTGGTAAAAGAATTGATGTCATACTTGACATGAGAATGAGTTAAAGATGGTACATTTAGTTCTGCTCTTTGTCCATCCCTGCTATTATTTTATCTAATTATTTTTTCTTTTTTTGACCTTTTTGTTAGAATAGTATATTATTAGTTGTGTTATTTTTCTATTGTAATTATTCTATGCCTTAGGGCACCCTTGTAATTATTTATCTTCATTAATATAAAAAGGGGATGATATCACAATCATTCTCTAATCTTGGTATTCTCTAAAATTATCATGATATCAAAGCCTAACCCTAAAATCTAAACCTATCCACCCATACAGTTCCTGTTACCCACCGGAGCCCCCAGCCACTAGCTGGAGACAACCCATGCAGCCAGCAACCAAAAGGTTCCCTTTCTGTCGGCTCAAGCTGACTCCACCTTGAGGGGTTTCGGCTCCAGCCGAGAAGGACCCAGGTTGTTTTTGGGGTGGGTTGATGTCTGTCTAGGGTTCTCTTCTCACCTTGGTTAGTTGAAATCAATACCGAAGATCACCCTGGGGTTCGAAACTCACCTAGGTTGGTCGAAATCCTCACCAAAGGCCCATCCTGGTCTCTCGTTGGTCTTTGCCGATAGGCTTTCTAGCCTAGTCGACCACTGGTGCAGTCGGCTAGGCAAGACGAGCCTCTATGCTCTCTTTGGTTTCATGCGACAGCATGTAGTATCGTCCCTCCCTCTACTGTTGTCTTTTTGTCTGTTGTGTCTTTCTATTGTTGACTTGGTCATGAGGTCTTGAACAGTGCACCTCTGTTTCTTCTTTTCTCTTGAAAAAAAAAATAAAGGAAAAAAAAAATAAAGGTTGCGTTTGATTGAGTTTTAGAATTATGATTTGAGAATAGAGCTGTATTTTGAGTTTGTGAGTTTTGGAATTATGATTTGAAAGAAGAAATTTGTTTAGTTATGAGTTTTGAAAAAAAATTTTAATTGAGTTTTAAATTTTTGATGTGACATGAAAAGAGAAAATTTGTTTAGCTATGAGTTTTGAAAATTTTCAAAACTTAATTCAAAAACTTATAACTCATAACTAAACGCACAACTCAAAACTCTATTGAAAATTCCATTCAAAATTCATAACCAAACTTTTTTTAAAATTCAATTCAAAAAAATAATTTATCATTTTGGTCTAAAAAAAATATTTTGTATGTTTAAAAAATATCAAAACAAATATATATATATTTTTCCAAATAACAGGTGGCGATGGGCAATTGCAAAAAAAAAAAAAAAAAAAAACTGTTCCAGTCGACCAACTGAACGTCTGGGTAGACCCAAAATTCAAAAACTCCTCTGCAGAAGACGAAACGTGAAAGAGAAATATGTTTTGAAAACTCCATCCAAACGTGAAAGAGAAAACTGTTTTAAAATGTGTGATGGAATCACATTTTCAAAACTCCATCCAAACAGTGCATGCAAACGGAGGGGTGGAATCATGATTTCAAAGCCACACCAAACACAACCAAATAATTTCTATGAGTTCTTAATTGTTTACGCCTTTATAGTGGTAGTTGTGTTTTTCCTTCCACCACTATCTTCCGGGTTTGTGATTGGCACTAGTTTGGTTGAGGGTTCGGTAGTCTATGACAGATTACACCAGTGTGTCCACTACTTCTCAGACACCTAGGAGTGAGAGTTCCACTATACCTATTACTATAACTGATAACCCCAACCCTAATTTTAAAATCACCACCTCTCTATTTAATGGTTAGAACTATCTAGCATGGTCGCAGAGTTTGACTATTTTTTTGAAGAGTAGAGGGAAGATGGGGTATGTTGATGGCAGGATACAAGCACTCAGTACCACTGACCCGGGTTATGACCATTGGGAGATTACCAACTCTTTGATTATGGGGTGGGTTATTCGATGGTACCAAAAATTGGTGAGGGCTACTTGTCTATGGAGACTGCCTAGGATGTTTGGGACGCTGTGGCTGTCACCTATTCCCGTAAAAGGAATTTCTCATAAGCATTTGAGTTGCACCGCTCTATTGAGAGCTCTGTTCAGGGGGAGCAGACTGTTCTTCAGTACTTCACATTTCTCACCAACGGCTGGAAACGCCTTGATCACCTGTAGGACTATAAGCTTGTTTGCACTACTGATTCAGTCGGGTACAGGAAGTTTATTGCACAGGAAAGGGTCTTCAAGTTTCTGGCAGGTCTCAATGTAGAGTATGATCCGGTTCGGAGTTGGGTTCTGAGTATGGACACTCTTCCTTCACTTCAGGAGGCATTCGCCTATGTACAGAATGAGAAGAGTCGCCGGTCTGCTATGATGTCACCTGTCTCTACTGACCGCTTAGCATTACTATCTACCCCTAGAGATGGCCTCAGCCTAACTCCCATCCTTTCGTTTGCCGCTAAGTAGTCCGTATTCTGTGATTACTGTCGCAAGCTGCGGCATACTTGTGAGATGTGTTAGAAGCTTCATAGGACTCCATCCGAGGGTCGAGGTGATTGGTCTGATTCTAAAGGCGGTCGGTCAGGCCAGTCTAGAGGACATGGCTCTCTTCCACGGGCTCATAAATCTAGTGCCGTTGATACACTTGATTCTACTTCCGCTTCCATTGGCCAGGCTTTTGATGGTCTCTCTGGCATGACTACTCATGAGCTTGAGGATGTTCTACGTCACTTATTGGACCGCCGGTCTTCTAATGCTCTCAGTACATCTTCCTCGTCGTTTGCCCGCTCAAGTAACTTAGCCTCTTCTCTTTGTATTTTCCTTTCTCATAAGTCTTTGCCCTGGATTATTGATTCTGGTGCCTCAGATCATATGTCTGGATCATCTGACCTTTTCTCTGCCTGTAAGCCCTTTTCAGGTCAAGACAAAGTTAGGATTGCAGATGGTATTGTTTCTTCTATTTTTGGGAAAGGTTTAGTCCATGTCACTCCTACCATACCTCTATCTTCTGTTCTCCATGTTCCAAATTTTTCTGTTAACCTGTTATCCTTGAATTATATTGCAAAGGATTTGAATTGTAGTGTGACTTTTTTTTCCTAATCATTGTTCTTTTCAAGACCTTGTCACGAGGAGGACGATTGGCAGTGGTAGTGTAGAAAATGGTCTCTACTTCCTGGATCAACCGGGCAAGCTTGCTCATTCTTCCACCATAAATCCTACTACCAAAGATGATTTATGGCTGTGACATCGGCGGTTTGGGCATCTTTCTTTTTATTTACTTAAACATTTATTTCCTTCTGTTTTTGCAAACAATAATGTGTCTAAGTTTTTTTGTGAGTCTTTTCAACTTAGAAAACAACACAGAGCTTCTTTTGCTCCCAGTTTTAATAAGAGTTTAGTTCTTTTTTCATTAATCCATTCTAATGTTTGGAGTCCATCTCATGTTATGTCTGTAAAAGGTCATCGATGGTTTGTTACATTTATTCATGATTTTTCTCATACTAATTGGGTGTATCTCATGAAAGACAAGAGTGAAGTTTTCTTTGTATTCCGCAGTTTTCATAAGATGATTTATTCTCAGTTTGGGGCCACTGTCAAAATCTTCCGTTCTGATAATGGGGGTAAATACATAGATTTTGGGTTAGGGCAATATTTTTTTGCTCATGACATTATCCATCAGACCTCTTGCACCAATATCCCTCAACAAAATGGGGTGACGAAACGCAAGAATCGTCATCTTCTTGACATGGCTCGCTGCATGTGTTTTTCTATGAGTGTGCCTCTTTCCTACTTGGGCGACACTGTTCTCACCGCTGCCCATCTTATTAATCGTCTTCCTACTAGGTCTTGCAAAAACAAGCTCCCCTTCAAGTCCTCCTAGGTTCTGAGTCCTTGTTTTCTATTCCTCCCAAAATATTTGGCTGTGTCTGTTTTGTCCACAATTACTCTCTTACTCATGGTAAGTTGGACCCTCGCTCCCTCAAATGTGTTTTCCTTGGATACTCTCCTACTTAAAAGGGTATAAGTGTTATCACCCTCCTTCTCGTAAGTGGTTTGTGTCCATGGATGTCACCTTCTTTGAGTCCCAGTCCTATTTCTTGTCCTCTCCGGTGTCACAGTCCTTCCTTCAAGGGGAGCCTTGATGTGAAGTGATTTCTGTGATTCCTATGGTGGAACCAGTTGTTCTTGCACCACCACCTCTTACTGGGATACAAAACCCAATGTCAACAAGGATAGGGAATGGCAAGTTTATGTCAGGGATGAAGACAGACAGAAAGTTAACTGGATACAAGAGACCACTTCTGCTCACCCACTGCCATCTCCTGCTTTTGATAAGAGTCCAGGAAACTTTAAATCTCGAGTCCACTAATCTTGATACACCTATTAATCTTGATGTTCCTATTGCCAAGAGAAAGGGTGTGAGATCTTGTACTCAACATCCTATCTCAAAATTTATGTCCTACTCTCATTTGTTGTCCTCATAAATATTTCCTCTGTTGGCATTCCTAACCATTTTCAGGATGCTCTTGCTACCTTTGAGTGGAAATTTGCCATGATTGAGGAAATGAAAGCACTTAGGAAGAATGACACTTGGTAATTGACTGAGTTACCTAAAGGCAAACGACCTGTGGGATGCAAATGGGTGTATAATGTGAAACACAAAGCGGATGGTTCTATTGAGCGTTACAAGGCTAGACTTGTGGCAAAAGGGTTCACTCAGACATATGGCATTGACTATCAGGAGACTTTGCACCCGTGGCTAAGATAAATTTAGTCAGAGTACTTCTCTCTCTAGCAGCTAATCTAGATTGGCCACTGCTGGAAATTTGTGTTAATGTATATAATAAGATAGTGGCATGTATATAATATGATAGTGGTGTTGGTGGCAGATAGTGGCATGTATAGAATATGATAGTGGTGTTGGTGGCAGATAGTGGCATGTATATAATATGATAGTGGTAGATAGTGGTAATATATAATATGTAAGTGGCATATAATGGGTTATAATGATGTTTGTAATATCTCCTATATAAGGAGTGTCATTTTGTCTTGTAAGATAAGAAGTTTTGAATATAACAGAAATATATTCCTTCTTCCTCATATTTTCGGAGTTCTTTTTCATCAGTTTGATGTAAAGATTGTCTTTCTCCATGGTGACCTAGAAGAAGAGGTATATATGGACATCCTCCTGGTTTTGAGGATCATCAAACAGAGGGTAAAGTATGCTAGTTTCGGAAGTCATTATATGGTCTCAAACAGTCTCCAAGGGCTTGGTTTGAGAGATTTACTCAGGCTATGCTTAAATATGGCTTCAAACAGAGTCAGACAGATCACATCTTATTTGTGAAACATTCCTCATGTGGTAAGACTATAGCGCTCATTGTTTATATGGATGACATAGTTCTTACAGGTGATGATAGTGAAGAAATACCTCTGTTGAAGAAATATTTGGCAAGTGAGTTTGAAATCAAAGACTTAGGGAGCTTGAAGTATTTTCTGAAAATTGAAATTGCTCACTCTAGGGATGTGATATTTATCTCACAGAGGAAGAATGTTCTTGACCTATTGAAGGGAACTAAGATGCTTGGCTACAAGGCCTGTGACACTCTACTAGAACCCAATCAGAAACTGGGGGATGATGAAGGAGGAACACTTGTTGATAGGGGGAACTATCAGCGATTAGTGGATAAGCTCATCTATCTATATCACTCCTGTCCTGATATTGTTGTTGTTGTCAGTGCGGTTAGCCAGTTTATGCATGTTCCTCATCAGATTCAGTTCGAGGCTGTCATAAGAATTTTGAGGTACTTGAAGTCTGTTTCTGGTAAGGGTCTTTATTTTTCAAACTCACTCATCTTCGTGTGGAAGCCTATATAGATGTTGACTAGGTTGGATCAATAACTGATAGGAGATCGACTTCAGGATATTGCACCTTTGTTGGAGGCAACCTAGTTACTTGGAGGAGTAAGAAACAGAATGTGGTTGCTAGGTTAAGTGCAAAAGCTGAGTTTAGAGCTATGACACAAGGGGTATGTGAGCTCTTATGGATTATGTTATTGTTGAGTGATGTAGGTATTGATCAGACGGACTCCATGCGGTTATACTGTGATAATAAGGCCGCCATCAACATCGCTCACAATCCGGTTCAACATGACAGGACAAAGCATGTTGAGATTGATTGCCACTTCATTAAGGAGAAACTCACTAGTGGCACAATATGTATTCCATTTGTACAGACCGGTGAACAACTCGCTGACATCCTCACCAAGGGAGTTGGGAGTAAGCCATTGCATGGCATCCTTGGCAAGCTGGGCATAAGAAATATCTTCGCACCAGCTTGAGGGAGAGTGTTAGAATAGTATATTATTCGTTGGGTTATTATTCAATTGTAATTATTCTATGCCTTAGGGTTCGCTTGTAATTATTCATCTTCATTAATATAAAAAGGGGATGATATCACAATCATTCTCTAATCTTGGTATTCTCTAAAATTATCACTTTTCTGTTACAGACTCTGAGATTCTTGATGGCTGAAACAATAGCTATAGTAGGAGCAGTTTCCGGTGCGGTAGGGGCAGCAGCAGGAGTGGTGCAAGCTGCTTCTCAAGCTAAGCCGATATTTTGGGATCCACCCATGGACGAAGTGGAGGAGATTCATGATGCTTTAAATGCAGCAGTACGTGCACTCAGTTCTATAAGGAAGGATTTCATGAATGAAGTTGAGAGAAACAAGATGAAGGCACCATCTGAAACTTACATGGAATGGATCAACAGGGCAGTGGAGATTGAGAAACAAGTGAAATTTTCAGTAGATGAATATGGAAAACATAGCAAAGAAGAGTCATCTTTTTGGTTTCCTTCGTCCTCATATTTCAAAGAGGAGATGATAAAGATGTACAAGAAAGTTACCAATCTTCTAAATGAGGGCAACCAAATCAGAGATAAAATTCTGGTTGATCAACCACCAGAAACTGTATTGAAGAGGAGGGGACCAGATATCAACAAATTCGAAACACTTCGAAAACCACTAGAGCAGATACTGGATTTGCTGGAAAAAGACAATGTTAAGGGGATCAGAATCCACGGAACAGTGGGGATTGGGAAAACAACCATAATGCTCAACTTGAATAACCATGAACAAGTTGCCAAAAAGTTTGACATAGTCATATGGCTCACAGTATCAAAAGAGGGGAGTAAGAAAAATTTGAGCCGGGAGCATCTGCAACAGGCTATTGTGCAAAGAATGGAAATAAAGATGGAAGGTGCTAGCAATGCTGACAAAGTTGCCCGAAGAATATTCAAGGAGTTGAAGGGCAAGAAGTACTTGCTACTTTTGGATGATGTCAAGGAAGATCTCAATTTAAATGAAATTGGGATTCCTGAAAGCAACAATGGCTGCAAGATAGTATTAACAACTAGGCTGCGTCAAGTTTGTTCCTCAATGGTGGATAGGGTGATTAAGGTGACATATTTATCTCTAGATGAGGCATGGAAGATGTTTCAAGATGTTTTAGGAAGCCCAAAACTTATTGCAAATCAAAAAATTCGGAAACTTGCTTGGCGAGTTTGTAAAGAGTGCAGTGGACTTCCACTCTTGATAGAGAAAGTAGCAAATACTTTCAGATTGAAAAACACCGAGTACCTTTGGAGTGATGGATTGGATAGTTGGAGGATGTGGCCTGAAAAAGAATGTCAAGGCATTAGGGAAATGTATAAATTGTTGAAATTTTGTTATGATGACTTGGACGATGACACGTATAAGAAATGCTTTCTTTATGGTGCATTATATCCTGAAGATAGTGACATCAACACAGATTATTTGTTGGAGTGTTGGGCAGCTGAAGATCTCCTTGGCAATGATGATTGTGCAACGAAGGAGTCCATCATGATTGGACATTTAATATTGAGCCGCCTTAAGAATGTGTCATTACTTGAGGAAGGTAAGAATGATAACCGTGTTACAATGCACAAATTCATCCGACAAGTAGCCTTATATATATCAGAAGATGAACCTGATTGTAAATATCTAGTGAAAACGAGCAAAGCATTACGACGGCCCCCAGATGAAAAATCTTGGAGTGAGAAGAAAAGGATCTCATTGGGTGACAATAAGTTGGATTGGTTACCAGATTCCCCCAATTGTAGTTTGCTTTCCAGTCTCTTCCTGCAAAAGAATTCGGCTCTTGACATGATCCCTGCATTATTCTTTGAGCATATGAAAAATCTTAGAGTTTTGGATTTATCTGACACAGGAATCAAGTTGTTACCATCATCTCTTTCAATCTTGATCCGACTCAAGATCCTTTATCTAAATAATTGCAAACATTTGGTGGAGCTCCCTTCTGACATTATAGAGCTTGTACATCTTGAAGCACTTGATATTCAGGGGAGTGGAGTCGATAATATACCACCTCATATTGAGAAGTTGATCTGCTTAAAGCGTTTGCGAGCATCATTTGCCACCAAGTCTGGAAATGAAAATGCCTCCCAAGAGGTACATTTTAACTATAATATAATTTCAAAGCTTTCTAAATTGGAAGAATTGGTCATTGATGTGAAATCTCCGGAGCAATGGTCTATTGCGGTGGTAGAGAATATCATAAAAGAAGTGGCCGCATTGCAAGAACTAAAGTCTCTGAAGTTTTCCTTTTCTGATAAGGTTGTAGACGTCATTGAGGTTGCACCTATGACTCTTCGTATCAGCGTTCCTAAAGCTACAATTCTCCTAAGTTTTATCGAAAGTAGTTCATGGAAAGATGTCCAGAGCATTAGCTCATTTGAATTTTACATTGGTTGCCAAAACTCAGAACCTCCTCAAATTCCCGACTTTTTTAGATATGATAAGTATGTCAAATACTCCAATAGTGTGGGTAGCAATTCTCCAATTCTCAGAGTCCTTGCTGAAGCTGATGGATTTGAATTAGTGAACCACAAAGACATCAAGCAGCTGTCCGACCTTGGAATTGCAAGCATGAACAAGGTCCAAGGTTGTCTAATTGAAAGTTGTGATGAAATTGAAACCATAGTGGATGCAGTGGACAGTGCAGTATTGCCAAACTTAGAGCACTTGTACATAAAGAATCTACCAAAGCTGGAAAGCATTTGTAAGGGCCCAATGCAACCTGGAAGCCTAACTAAATTAACAACTCTACATCTGACTAGTTGTCAAATGATGGTCAAGATTTTTCCTCCAGGTGTGATTCAACAACTTAATGAAATCCAGTATTTGAAAATTGAAAAGTGCCAAGAAATTGAAGAAATAATTGCAGAATCTGACGCTGCTGGAAATCTGAATGTACTGCCAAAGCTGAAGGAGCTGATTCTCCTTGACATGAAAAAATTGAGTGGTGTTTGCACAATTGAGTCACTGGAGTGGGGATCCTTGGAGAAGGTTGAGATTTTTAAGTGTCCTGTTTTGCTTGTATTACCTTTCAACAAAGATAATGCAGCAAAGCTGGAAACTATTGAAGCAGAGAAACAATGGTGGGAAGCATTTCCATGTGGTGAGGTCAAAGAACGGCTTAGAAAATTTTGTACCCTCAGGTAATGTTCATCTTTAATATGGTTTGTTTTCATAGTTTGTGCAGTTCCTTGTCTAACTTGAAATATTTCATAGGTCATAGATCTCACAGTGATACTGCTTTCAGAAGATGGTCATATGAGCTCTTGAAATTCAGCAGCCCTATCTCTTTTGCCAAAATAGTTGAGTAGTCCCACTGGCATGGAGCTTTCAAGTTACTTTGGATGTGATGGTGATGGTGATGGTGATGGTGATGGTGATGATGATGATGATGATGATGATGGTGATGGTGATGTTGTTGTTGTTGAGTGCTTGTTTTGCATGCATGTGTGTTTGTTCCTTCTTGTTTGTCCTTGTCTATGCTGCAGCAATTTTACATGTATGTATTCATATATGAAAACAGCAGACCTGGTTTCTGTTTTATATGGTGTGCTACAGAACAAGACTGATCAGCTGGCCATGTATGTTATCTTTTACTTAGCACACTTCTTTGTGTTCTGTTTTAGCCGTTGATTGATATTCTAATTATGTTCTCATCGCTCATATGCCCTCTACTATGACTCCTTTACTTCCCTACTCTATTATCTGTTTGACTATACATATGCACTGAAGCAGGACTACTTGCAAGTACTTAAAAGTGACAAGGGTAAGATTTTTCTATAAAATGAAATTCCTAATGATTTTTTATTTGATCAAGTACTTCGCACAGTGTGATTTCTTCTTTAGCGGACGAAGGTGATTCAACAAGAACACCCTTTTCTTTATTCTTGTAATGCACATTATGTTTCACTCCTTTTTCTTCTGCTTGCTCATATTTTGTAACATCTACCATGATTACCTTTCTTCCAAGTTTGATGTACAATGCAGAGTTACCATCTATGTGAGCTTCAGAAAAATAAATAAATAAATAATAGCTGAAAATTTATTTTCCTGTCAAATTAAACCATGCAAAATTCTATACTCCAACAAGTGAATAACAGATTCAAAATGCAAAGCACACAAATGACACAAACCTATCTGTATACTTGCTGCTGATCATTCGATATGTAAATAATTGCCCCACTTATTATTGTTCTGTAATTCTCCCAAATTTGAATCACATCAATAAAAAAATAATAATGATAATTGTAGCATAGACTCATTTGGGCATTTAAGTAGTCTCTAACTTCTGGGACATGTACAAATTTCTTCAATGGATGAAGTTACAATTCTATATAAATGGATGAATGCAATTGCTGATAAATAGAAGTCCTCAAAGTCGGTATGTGGCACTAGCATGGCAATGGGTAGGGTATGGGTTGGGGCCCCTATCCCACCCCTATTCCCGTTTCTGCTGCTTGCCTTCATCCCGACCCAACCCTCATAGAACTCTCCCCCACCCCCACCCAAATCCACAAATATAACCTCCATCCCTGACTCTATCCGATCAACACGATAGGAAATTTAAAAATAATATTAAAATTTAATAATTAAAACTAGAAAATACTATTTATAATTAAAAAATATATATATTATTTATTGTACATATATTAAAATTATATTATATATATAACATAATAAAAACTAAAAAGATATTATATATATTCTATAAAAATTCAATAATATATGATACGCGTATTATGTATATGTAATATTATTATTTACTTATTACTATATTTGTTGGTTGGGTAGGGTTCGGGTAAAAAAATACTCTCTCCCGCCCCCAATCTGAACCCAATCGAATTTTTCAAAAGTTTTTTCAAATCCGATCCTACCCTATTCAACTACCCTCAAAACCCATCCCATTATGGTTGGGGAGAGTCGGAACCCGACAGATTAGGATATTTTACCATCTCTAGGCACTATCGTTCAGGGAAGACAAACGTTAGGTACAAACATGTATTACTCGTTGAAATACATAAAATTTGTGTTTGGTTGGATATCGAACTTGCAGAGGAAAAAAAAAAAAGGATTTGGAGGGGAAAAAAAGTTTACTTTATGTTTCATTAAAAAAATTCTTTTACTTCATGAATCCCTACATAAATTTAAAATACAAACACAATCGAAACAAAATTATTCATAGATTATATATATAACAAGAACAACAACAATTACTGTCACGATCACATCTACACGATGAGAAAAAGCATTGAAGACATTAAAGCGGACAAAGCATCACATCAAAAAATTAAGTCAAGTAGCAATTAATACAGAAAAGAAATTAACCAAGAAACTATGAAATTTTAATCTGATCACTTTTGCTTGAAGATTTATTTAGTGTGTTTGGTTTCAATTTTTTGAATTCAATTTTTTTTAAATTGAGTTTTTTATTTTTCATATTTTTTTTTTGTTTTTAGTGAATATTTTTAAAATTTTAAACATTTTTTTTTTAGTTTTTTAGATGCACCTTACTTAGATGTATTTAAAAAGTAAAATATTTGTAAAATAATATTTTAAAAAATCAATAAATACATAAGAATATGAAAAATGTACTATTTTTTTTGTATTTTTTGTATTTAGTGAATTTTTTAAAGATGTTTTTTCACAAATATTATACTTTTTAAGTGTATTTATATTAGGTGTATCTAAAAATTAAAAAATTTGCTTGAAACATTAAAAAAAATTTAGTAAAAACAAAAAAAAAATAAAAAAAAAATTAATTTTCTGAAAAGTAAATCCTGAGTCTAGAAATCAAACAAGCTGATTGGTATTTGTATGCACAAGTAGCAACAGTTCCTCAGCTTACGTCCGGACAAGTTTTCTACACAAGAACCCTACCAGAGGGAGATTGGAAGGAAGGGAGGCTAAAAGGAGATTCCAAAACCTTCTAGAAGACTTGATAGGATGAAGGAACATTTGTAGATAATTCTAGAATGTGTATAGAGAGTTCGTTCTAGAAGATTCGGCACATCAATTTACATTCTAAATAGTTTATAGAAGGTTATGCGGCCTATAAAAGAGTGAGGGCTCATTTGCCTCACAACTTGAATCAACTTCTCACATCAATGGACTTAAACAACTTGAAACACTTTGGGAGAATGCATTCAATTCAATAACGGAAAATGTTTGAAACCTTAATAAACCCTCCACAATTTCACCCACAATATGTGGGGTCTACTTCCTTGTCACATTGGTGTATCTGTTTTCCCAATAAGATTGCAGTTGTCATAGACGTTAAATCTAATAGATGTGTACATATTTGTAATCCTGAAACTGCATTGTGCAGTATTACCAAATGTAATTGAGTGGGCATAATTCCCCTGCTCCTTTACTCAATTCAAGGCGTCTTCTAATCTTCCGTTTGACTGGAAAGAATGGGTTGATGATTTTACTACTTTACCTCAAATTTAAATTTAAGTTTTTCTTTTGGTTGTGCTTCATCATCTTTGTGAAATTGAATGTTTAAAGATTGCAAACTGCCTAGAAATTATGGAAGTGGTCGAGCAATTTGCAACCATTGGAAATTAGAAACTTCTGCCAACACTGAGAAAAGTAGTACTTTGTGGCCTGTCAAATTGAGAAGTATTTGCGCAGACATTGAAGTGACCAGCCTTGGAGAAGCTCATTTTGTTAAATTAATTTCTATTTTTTCAAAAAAAAATTAGAAATTTTTTTTTTTATATTTGAAATATTTTTAGAAAATAAAATCATGTATATCTATTATGTTGAATAATTTTATTTATGGTTACACAGACCTTTATACCAAATAAAATTTAGAAATTTTAAATTTTAAAATTTTGGTTGATTTTAATTTAAATTATTTTTTCATTAATGGAGGAAGTTTTTTACCACACATATCAATATCTCATTTGTTTTTCCAACTTTACATCAATTCCAACTTTGTTTTAACTAGACCTAATTACAACCATCCTAAGCATCCGTATCCACCTTACAATTTAAGTTAGCATGGTATGCTTTGGATTGGTTTGGGATGAAATCAGAACCAATTTATTGTTCACAATTTCATAAAAATTGAAACAAATCAAATCATTCAAATCATAGAATCAATCCGAATCAAATCATTTAAACACAGTTCGGTTCAATTTGAAACCACAGTTTTATATAATCTGTTCACAAGAAAAATCATATAATATATCATAAATTTTAAAAATAATAATAACAAAATTCATCAAACAAATTACTCTCATAATATTCACTAGTTAAGCCGAGGGGATTTGGTCAAAGCCCCCTCATAATGAAATTTTAATGCATTAAGAATAAATACAAAAAGTTTTTCTAGAAAAGTCCACCACATACCACTATTACTAATATATCCTTAGTGATTAATTTAATATTTTAAATTTTAAAATAATATAAATTTTGATCTAGAAGTCGATTTTTAATAAAATTAATATTTCAAGAATGTTCCCATTAAAATCTTTCAAATAAGATCTATATTGACTATGAAATTTGTAAAAAAAAAAAAATACCGTCAAAATTAACGTAAACAGTAACATGTTACTGTCTTCTTAAACAGAGCATAAAAAAAAAAAAAAGAGTATGAATTGTAGGAAGCTCTACAAGTTCTTCCATTACAAATTCATAAACAAATCAACAATAATCAACAAACAACAATTCAAATCAACAACTATTCAACAAGAAGTCAACAAGAATACATGTACCATCAAGTACCGAAAATTGTCTCTTCTCCAGAGACTTGTTATTGGAAATTGATTCATTAAGCTCTTCTTCAAAAGCATAAATACTATTCTCTTTTGTTTCCAATTCAGATTGCAACTTTTTCATTGTAATCTCATATATCTTCATCAAGTTTTGTTGCTTTTGAATCTCAGCTAGTAATATCGTAACATGAGGCGGCAAAAAATCGATTTGAATATCTTCATCAAGTTTTGTTGCTTTTGAATCTCAGCTAGTAATATCGTAACATGAGGCGGCAAAAAATCGATTTGTTTCTTCAAGAAACTCTGTTTCAGTTCCAATTAATAAGTGAAGAGAGAGATAACAAGAGAGAGAGTTGAGAGTAGTGGAAAGAGAGAGAGTGAGTGAGTTGGGAACTGTAGAAAGATAGAGA